AGCACTGAAGCAAAGCAAGAAAATTTATTAAGAGAGTAAAGCAAGTAAATGTACAGCACAAGTGGGTGTAATCTGAGTACCCTGCCTGGTGGAGGATTAGGGGTTTATACTTTTCTGCCTACAGGTTTCAAGGTTCCTCTGTAGGATACTTTGGCCAATGGACTAGATTTCAAGGTCACCCTTTTACTTTGTTATGGCTTTTCCCAGAATTTATGAGAACTACTGACTTCCCAAGACTGCTGACTTCTTTGTTCAGTGGGTGAGATACACTCTTCTTTTTTCCCTCTTCCTCTCCTCACACCTTTGTAGTTCCAGGGTGACTTAAGCTATGTATTAACCATTTTCTCTCAAGTGTCCTTGGTTGGGGGGATAAGGTCTTGCTTTTCACAAGTTAGCTACAAGTTGGCCTTGATTAATTTTCTTGTCTCAGCTTCCCTATTCCACTTGCTCAGGAATTTTCCTAACTTCTTACTATCCTGCCATACATATGAACAGATAAAGAAATTATGGTATATTCAGCAATGGAATATTACTCAAGAATAAAAAGGAATGAAGTACCAATCCATGCAACAACACAGATGAATCAAAAAAATTTGCTAAGTGAAAGAAGTGATCACTTCCTTCCCTATCTCTTATATGAAGGTTGAAGTTATGTACCAGGCAAAACTTAGCTATGGTGAATGAAATTAGAACATAGGGTCCCTCTGGGTGATAAGAAGAGAAATTGGATGGAAAGGACACAAGATAGGTTTTTAGGTTGATGGAAACATTTTGTGTCTTTATTGACATGGTTACTTGAGTATATAATTTTGTTAAAACTCATCAAAACTGGAAAACCTGTGTGTATGATTGTTTGTAAATTATAACTCATGAATGGAATTGATGTGAATTAAAAATTAATGTAATGTAGTGGTTCAATATGCCACATGCAGGAATTGAGGTAAGACTGTCTGATTCAATTCCTGAAGGCGGTGAATTATAATGTTAAAAGCATGACTGCTATATCAGATAAACCTGAAGTTTTGAATCACATTGCCAATATTTTGTGAATGTAGGAAAGTTACTAGCCTCTGCTAAACTCCTATAAAATGGAGATAATAAAGTTAGTATCTACCTTAAAGGTTGTCCTCATTATAATGCCTGGCACATAGATGCACTCAATACATTTAAGTTATAGTCATTATTATTAAATAGCTCTTCAGCTAGGCTTTCAGCAGAAAGGAATGCTGGTATAACCTTGAAGATTTTGAGAATTAGATATCTACAAAACTGCATTAGGCTACAATCTAAATAATGTAGACAATATGTGACAGCATATGATTAAGTACACTAGCGAATCCCATTTTAGTTATCAATTTAAAACTGAGTAACTCATTATCTCTTTGCTAAGAAAATATGTTCACTTTAAAATGCTTGAAGTAGTTGGCTCAGTGTTTGAGTATCGACTTATTAACCAGGAGGTCACAGTTTGATTCCTGGTCAGGGCACATGCCCAGGTTGTGGGTTTGATCCTCAGTGGGGGATGTGCAGGAGGCAGCCAATCAATAATCTCTCTCATCACTGATGGTTGTATCTCTCACTCCCTCTCTCTTCCTCTCTGAAATCAATAAAATAATTATTTCATCACATTAAAAAAATAAAATACTTGAAGTACTTATTAGGGTCATTTTTTTCCCTTTATAGTCTCACACTCTGTTTTCTATCTCATAATCACTTTTTACATTTTGGCATATATTTTTCCAAAACCCTATATGTATAAGTATATAAATTGTGTATGTATATAAGTGTGTATATACTATCTAATAAAGAGGGAATATGCTAATTGACCCTCATGCTGTCCCAAAGATGGCGGTGCCCTCAGCCAATAAGGTGCCCACAGCCAATAAGGAGGGAATATGCTAATTGACTGCCCCGCCCTCAAAGATGGTTGCGCCCACAGCCACAAGATGGCGGCGCTCAGTCTCCTCAGTCCCGCCTGGGTGTCAGGTGCGCGGCAATGCCGAATCCGCCCTGCACGCCTGCCTACAGAGTCCCCCAGTCCCCTCAGCCCCCCAGCTGCCCAGGGCAAGCTCAAGGCACAAGCAAGCCTCAGATGATGGCTGCCCAGCTGCCCAGGGCCACCCAAGGCTCAGATAACCAGGACCGGCCAAGGCTTGCACTGCTGGCATTGGCAGCAGCAGAGGTGTGATGGGGCATCGACTTCCTCTGATTGCTGTGTCACTTCCCACCCCTGAGGGCTCCTGGACTGTGAGAGGGGGCAGACCAGGCTGAGGGACGCCCCCTCCAGTGCATAAATTTTCATGCACCGGGCCTCTAGTAACTTTATAAATGAAAATGTGACTATACTATATATACTCTTGTAAATGGCATTTCACTTAGAAATATTTTCATGTTTATAAATATTTACACATAGAGTTGGCCTGTTATTTTAAACTAGAGGCCTGGTGCACGAAAATTCATACACTGGAGGGGGGATCCCTCAGCCCGACCTGTCCCCTCTCACAGTCTGGGAGCCCTCAGGGGTGGGAGGCGACCTGGTGATCAGGGGAAGGCGAGACCTCCATCACACCTCGGCTGCTGCCACTGCCGGCAGCACAAGCCTCGGCCAGCCCCAGTTATCTGAGCCTCGAGAGGCCCTGGGCAGCTGGGCAGCTGCTATCCGAGCCTTGACTGCACCTCGGGCCAGCCCTAGGTGGCTGGGCAACTGCCATCTGAGGCTTGCCTGCACCTCGGGCCAGCCCTGGGCAGCTGGGGGCCTAGGGTGGGTTGGCTACACTGCATGCCTGCCACCACCCCTGGGGGGGCTGTAAGGACCGGGGGACTCTGGCGGGGCTGAGGGTACTGGGTGCCGCCATCTTAGTGATGGCATGATGGTCAATTTGCATAGTCCCTCTTTATTAGATAGGATAGCTATATAATAGTTCATTGCATTGATAAGTCTTTTGAGTTATTTAACCAGCTCCTTATCTGAGTAATTTCCAGTTTTCACTATATGAACAACTTTAGCCTATCTCTTACTTACATTATGTGAAATTCTGTTATTTCATAGAATATATTTTAAAAAGTAAAATTGCTATAAGAAAGAGTTTGAACAAAATATATTAAAATTTTTTTGTGAGAGGAAATTATGTGTGTGAGTATGTGTGTGCATAAACAGTGAAAGCATGAAGAGCAGAATTCTGAGTTGTCTGGGTGGTAAATGGTGGTTTTCATATTCTGCTTGCTTCTTTATATTCCTCAGTTAAAAAAGTTATTTTAATATTTACACAAAATTTCCACTCAAGGAGTTCAAGGTATTAACTACCATAGTGGGGCACATACACTGTACACACTAAGCCGGTGCCGCTCATGCCCAGTATTATTCACGTACCACCCATGGCCATGGGAAGCAGTGTCTTTAAGGGCACTGATTTCTAAGAAAACTGGGGCTTGAGCATCACATGTCTGATAAAGAGTCTGGATCTTCAACCAAAGGACTTGTATGCATGCATATAAGCCTAACTAATGGACACAGACAACAGGGGGGTGAGGGCATGAGTTGGGGAGTTGGAGGGGGTGGTTATGGTGGGATAAGGACACATATGTAATACCTTAATCAATAAAGAAATTTTTTAAAAAAGAGTCTGGACCTTAGTATAGGTTTTCTGAAACACTGTGGTTTAGAGTAATCTGGAGTGATGTCATTTTTTTGTGAGTGTCTTTGAGGCCTAGGTTCATTCTCAAACTTCAGAGATATGCAAGTAGTGGTGTAGGAAAGCCTGGAGGAGCCTATTTCCCTAGGAGACTTATTCAGCCAGAAGTGATGTCTTCAAGGCAGTCAGTGGTCACAAAGCCACTGGGACATTCAAAAAGTTTTATGTCCCTCAGTGACAATCTCTCGTCAAATATCCAGCTTCCTTTCAAAATAATGACAATAATAATAATAAAGCCATGATCAATTACATGGTGTTGTGAACTGTGGGGAGAGGGGGACAGTCTTCAGACCCCTAATATCCTGATATATTTTCACATCTGTACAATCTTGTGTTTCCTTTCTGTCCAAGGATCCCATTCAAAAACAACTAAGAACCCAAGTTCTCAATGTCCTGACTTATGTGCCTGTGGTCTTATAGCTCTCCATCTGTGCATTCGCTCCCAATCCAGTCATGCAGTTTTCATTTCCAATGGCTTCCAATTTGTGTTTTGAAAAGGTGACTCTCACTGGGGTGGGGGTGGGGGGCAGATATGATGGGGAGCAGGATGGGAGGCCAGAGAGCGATGAGACCTGCAGTTGGGGACCCTGCTCATTTAGCAGAGCAGAAGCAGCGGCAGCCAAGTTCTGTTTCAGTCCCTGTCCAGTGAGGGTGGTTCTATGGATGTTTATCACGACCTAAGCTACCCTTGCCCATTACTTAGTGCCTGTTAGACACTCCGCAGCAGCTCAGTCATGGCTGTGTCATACTGTTGGGGGGAGAAGTGAGGAGGAGGAACACAGAGGTCTGATTCTTTGATTAGTTTTAACTCTACTGTCTCGGTTTTGAGGTGTGTACAAATGTTCTAGAGTACTTTCCTCACTTTCTTCTCAGCTGTTTTTTGTCTGTGTTTTGAAGGCAATGCTTACCAGCTCAGAAACAGAAGTGTTAGTATTTCTTCCCAACCTTGTGTTTAGTGACATGGACTTGATAGTTTGAAATGGACATGAGAATAACTACACCATTGAAATTGCAAAATGCTTCAAATAATGGAATCCCCCCACCTCAAGAAGATATATTTGTTAACGTTTAGTAGCACACTACTTCTAAAAATCCTTCTCATGCCCTGTACTCTTTACCCCCGCACACACACGTAGGGTGGGGAAGGGGAGAACATAGTGTTTGAGGGATTGGACACCATGGGTTTCTTCCGTGGGCTAAGGTGATTTCCAATAGGAGCAAACTGAGTTACTTTTCTCTTCCTATATCAAATTTTTCACTTATTTCCAAAAGGCCAACAATGAGCTAACTTTCTTCTCTCTCCCCCAGTGGATGGCTGCATTCACAGAGCGGCTGGCCCCTGTTTGCTAGCTGAATGTCGCACCCTGAACGGCTGTGATACTGGGCATGCAAAAATCACATGCGGCTATGACCTGCCTGCAAAATGTGAGTACAACTGTTTTGAACACTGTTTCAGCATCTGAGGAGCATTCTTGCCTCATTTTATTTCTCAGGTGTGTAACTAGGGAAGGAAATGGCAGTGGCGGTATTTAATTAAATGTGCTTATATTAAGATTTTGTACCTGGTAATAAAATGTGTTTTCCAAATATCTAAGTGTATGCCGTTTAACTATAGGTGTTTTTTGTTCAGACCTTCGGCAGACGGTCTCTGAAATAGAGAAATAAAAATATGAGCAAAAAATATATTATAGTCTTTAAGTGCCATTGAGTGACAGCTTCTGGAAACGATGCCAATTTCTTATTCCTTGTTCAGGTTTCTTGATTGTGGATGTGTTCAGAGCAAAGGAGATCAAAGTGATGTATTGTGTTTTCAGCTGCCATGTAAAGGCTGATTGGCAATTATAGCCAAGGCACCTGTCACACTTCCCTTTCGGGGAAAAGCCAGTGGAATGCGGTTGTCAGTGTGAGAATGTATTTGCGCTTTGAATGTGGAATGGTCAAAATTTCCATTATATTTGAATAGAGAGAAGTATTGCATTTGATTGACCGTGTTGGTTAGTCATTTAGCCAACTGGGTAGGGTGGTGTGGAATAAGAACAGTGAGAAGGAAACTGGCTAGAGGCACACGCTCTTTTTTTAATCACATTATCTTCAGGGCCTGGGGCTCGAGGTAGAGTTTCATTGCACAGTTAAGGGTGTGCATTGATCCAAAATTGAGGCACTGATTCATTTTTTATTCCATGTACCTGCTTCTTATGATATTGCCTGGATCTGGGAGTACATTTTATGTGAAAGTAAACACACGATACCGATACAGTGTGCAGATAATGTGATGTAGAATTGTGCACCTGAAACCTATATAATTTTGTTAACCAGTGTCACCCTAATAAATTCAATAAAAAAGGAAAAGTATGACATGGATTTTAAGAAAATGTAAAGCTGGTTTTCATTTTTGTTTTAGCACTGGGGAAAACGTGACTGAAAAATTACGATCTGTAGGAGACTCTTTGGTCTTGTACAGGCAGGTTGTGTAAGATGGATTTCCCATGGATCTGTGCGAGGAGAAGGAGAGTGTTACAATGCAAAGATTACTTAAAAATAGGTTTAAATCTGAGGATTTTTAGTAAATAGTAATATACTAAAATGGTATTTTTCTTTATAAATGTTATAGTACTACATTCTATGTTCCTCACAGTGGGTTGCTAGTGAAAGTATATCAATTGTATACTGTTTAATTTTCCCTTTCATGGCTTCTCATTTTTCTCTCTTTGTTACTGTTTTAACCTTGTGCCAAATGCCCCCTCACTCCTAGTTGGACGATATGTTTATGTCAAATAAGATCCTTTGTGTACATTGTGTTCAGAGAAGTTCTCCCTATGACTCAGAGAGCCTGAGTATTAAAGGTGATTTCATTTCTAGGTTTATGAGGCCCAGTGTTTATAAATATTGGTCATTCTTTCTTTTTAACAGCATAATACCTTTGTGATATAGTTAACCAATACCATCCTGAGAGCAAGCAGATGATCAATTAGTTTTAGACTTGTATCTGTCCTTAAACCAGAGAATAAGGCCTGGTTCCCTATTGATTCACTACTTTTTTATATATTAAAGCACATATCAAAAATTCTTCAGCTCTGAGATTTCTGAAGACAAGTACCCTTGGAATTGCTAAATATGATCAAATGAAATGGTGGCTCTAGTGTATGGATTGACACTATGACAGTCTTGTTTAATGTGCTTGCTCTTGTCTAACATCTCTCTAAGTAACCCATTCAGCTTAGTTCAGGGTTGTTGAAGAATTGTACAATACCAGGCCCTGAGGTACAAAGGTCAATAATACCAATACATGAGCTGGAGGAATTCTGTGATTGAGTCATACCTTTGAACTAAGGTGCGGCTTTCTTGCTCATCCCAGGGCAGGTGAGACAAGAAATCTAGACATGAAAAGTCATCAGGACTTGATACAGAATCCCAGTGAGCTGAGATGTGAGAGCCTGACACGCCTTTAAGTCACTGCACACAGCCTACAGGGCATGTCTTGTAAAAAATGCAAAGGAAATGTAATAGAAATTGCCAGATTGGAATTGCAGTGCCACCTCCTAAAGTCACACATACAGATTCTGTGAATGCCCTGATACTTTCCTGTGTTTAGTTAGATTTAACAATTTATATTACAACATAAAGAAAAGCAAGGGAGGCAATGCAAGAATGAGTAATAATAGCTTACATTTATATGCCACTTTGTAGTATGGCACAGTACTTTCACAAGCCCTCATATTTTAAATTATATTTTTCTAAACATCCTGTGTGTTCCTTTTTCCTTTTCTGCTCCCTGAGAGACGTTTTCCTTTCTCATCAATTTGGTTCATCCATTTCAGAGTCATTAACAATCCACAGATGTGCTTTTGTAGAGAGAGAATGAAAAGGGAGCTCATTACATACTGTTTGGGTCATTTTCCCTCCATATTTAATAACTCCATGACAGTTTGACAGCCGAGACTAGCTCCTGTCTGTCCTCTGTGACAGTGGGTTTATCATTACAGGGCCACTAAAGCCAGTCATCCAGCCACCGGTGATAATATCTTCATGCATCAGCAACTTGTTTGTAAAGTGCTATCATGGGTTACAGACAAACTGGGTAATTTTGGACCCGTCTTTGCTTCTTTTTTTTTTTTTGGCTTGCTAAATTAATCTATTTATAAATGCTTATATTTGAATTAAATATACTTATAGTCTACTAGAGGCACAGTGCATGAAATTCATGCACATGTAGGGTCCCTAGTGGCCACCTGCTGCCACTGTGGGAAGGACCTCCCGACCCCCTCCCCCGGCCTCCTGCCACCTGCAGCCACTGCTGCAGCTGGCCCTTCCCCCACCCCCTGGTCGAACTCCTGGTCAAACTCCAGGCTGATGGGACAATTTGCATATTAGGCTTTTATTATATAGGATATCCTGATTGGTGGAATGATAAGCCTCAGATATTTAGTTTATGGCTTGGATGTTTTGAATAATTTGTTTTGATGTAAAATATCCAATATTTCTTTTCAAAAGTAATCTGAAGAGTGAAAGAATATAGGCCCATATTTTATTGAAGGCTATTGCTAAGGAAATGACGTAGGGACTGAACTAAGGACTGCTCATGAAATTGGAACTTTGGGGACTTTCTCTTCTACAATATTAGAGATTTGGGGGGTTCATGATACAGTTTAGATTTCTATAGTTTTAGAGCTTTATCAGCATGTTGGGATATTTCTATTTATGCTATTATCGTTCTTACTAGAGGGCCAGGGTCACCTGGGAGAGGTTTGTTCATCCCTGTCACAGTTCGAGTGTCAATATCTGGCATAGTGTCTCTGAATGAATGTGAATGAATCAGTGATCAAACGCATGAATTGTTTCAGGCATTTTAACCTGGAGAATAGCTTTGTGTTGCTTTCACTTCTAATTCTTTCCCTCCTGCAATCCATTCTGCCCAGTGCGTATAGATTAATATGCCTGAATCCCGAGTCCTTGGAATTCTCTAGGATATTCTAGATGATATGATCCTCCGTACTTCTCTGACATTGTCTCCTACCCTCTCCCTCGCTCATCAAGGCTGTTTTGCTAATATTTACTGCCTTTGTATTAGCATTCCGTCTGCCTGGAATTCTATTCTTCTACTTACCTATGTGGCTTGCTCCTTCACCTACTTCAAACCCTTGATCAAACCCGAATCAACATATTTATAACTGCTTCTCTGCTGTATTTGTAATTGCTTATGTAGTATTAACTTTTAAAATACACTGTATCATTTGCTTGTCTATTTTATTTATTGTCTGTCCCCTCACCCCCACAAGAATAAGGGCAGATGTTTTTTTTCTGCGTCTTTTTCATTTATTGCTGTATCCATGCAGCTTAGAAAAATAGGGGTTCAAATATATTTGTTGACTGAATTAATGAAATCTAACTCTACTCCTCTCAAATCCTTCACTAGGCTTTTACTTTAAACATAGACTTGTTAGCCTTATCTTTGGCCTTCCATGATTTAATGCCATATCTTGAACTATTTACAACCTTTTATGTGATCTGAATTGCTCATAATGGTATGTCTGTGCGGGGGTTTGTGTTCAGGGCTATCTCCAAAGCTCTTTCTCTGTTTCATTATAGCTATCTTCCAGACTCAGCTCAAATATCACTTCTACAATAAAACAAGTCTTCCCTTATCAACTCAGCTAAAAGTACTTTCTTTTTCCTTCAAAATCCAGAATGCTGTAGTTAACAGGCTGAGGGCACTTTTATTGTGTGACTGTTTATTGTTATCTGTGTGAACTTTCCACCTGTCTAGTAGCCCTTTGTATATGTTAATGGATGCTAGAGCCTTATCTATCAAATGAATTAATTGTTGAAGGTGGAAAGCTGGTTGATGATTGATTAATTGCTGGTGGGGGGATGCAAAAGAAAATGTATACTAATATTCCTGAGAAATGATGAAATTAGTATCAAGTATCCCTTGTGTTTTTAAATCATATTTTAACATACTTCTAATTCCAAACACTTTTGTCTATGAAACTTACTCTTAATCGAGTTTTTCCTAGGGGTGAGCAAATAAAAATAAAGAAATCATCAACTTTATTCAGTGATTTTCATCATAGCTCACCTCTGTTTTATTTCTTGAGAATGCTTCGCTTTTAGGCTTTAGGGCTGAATAATCATCAAAGATAAATGGAAAAAGTATTAAACTTGTATGCATAAAATAGTGGAATCTGTTTCTTTTATTCCTTCTATTTAATCTTTGGAAGTCGTGAAAGGGTAATATTAGCATCAAACTCACAGTTTTTCATCAGTCATTTGAAAGGCAACTCTAGGGTGGGAGACCATAGCATTATATGTTTGAATATCATAGAGTGGTATGAAATCAGAGTCCTTATTATGTTTCCAGGTGCAATAATAATCAGATAATGGTAGCTTAAAAGGTACTGTTGATAATAATTAGTACTTTTCTTCTG